ACATTCCAGAGGTCAGTGTGGCGCCTCTTCCACTATTGTTGTCCATCTTATTTTTTTAAACATAGGATATTTATTACAATGAAAGATCATTACGTCTAATAGTGCTGACCATTTAACCCATTCAATATATACATGTCAAGAGTCAGCTAGAATCTTCTTTATCCTATAGAAAAGTGCCAGACCTTGATCCAGCAACCACCTTACATCTTCAGACAAGGTCTCCTGGGGTTCCCCAGTTGTCTAGACTTGCTGGCCAGGAGGCTTCCAGCACCACTGCCTTCTAGTGCTGGGGATACAGACATATGCTACCACACCTGACTTTGTGTGGGTGCTGGGGATCCAAGTGCAGGTCCTCATCCTTGCACTTGGTACTTCACCAAGTGAGCCATCTCCCCGCTCCCTCATTAGATGTTTAAAGTGTCTTTCTCACCCACCGACCAAGCTGGTTGTTCACAAATGTGCCAACACCCACTGTTGAAAACACTGCTCTGGAGCAGAGTTCTAGACTAAACAACCCTGAGTCATTCTACAGTGCAGGTGAATGTCAGTCACTGTGCCTGCCACTAGACACACAGCTCCTGAGACAAAAGGAAACACCAGTGACTTCTAGAGTAAGCGGCTGACTCTGCTCTGCTTTGATTTGGTTTTACCAAAGATCTGAAAAGAACTCTCCCAGCTTCCTTACAAAGAGAAAGTGGAACTTGCTAGCTATGTGTTCTGGGACTTTTATTAGGTAGTGGAAAATAGTTTTGGAACCATCTTCCCTCAATACTCCACCCCCCACATGTGGAAACAGGTCTTTTGAATGTAAAGTCCATTGGCATAATCATTGGGATGTCAGCCCATGTTGAAGACTTCATAAGAACCTCCTAGGGGACATCTCATGCCAACTCCAGGGCTGTGAGCATCATTGAAGGGCCCATCCATTCTGCTACTTCTCTCACTTTCCTTCAAGGCAGTTCGGAAAGCTTGAGGGAATAAGCGATGGCAGCTGTTGCTATGTCAGTGTCTGTTTTGCCAAGAAGCAGGGAAAACAAGTGAGCTAAGAGTGGTTGGGAAGTAGAGATTGTGAAGGGCGACGGCAGAGTCCCAGCAGCCACCGCTTTCCTTCTCTGCCGTCACCCACCCCACACAACCCCGGAATCTCTGCACCAGCTGGCCAGAACCCAAGTGATGAAATTACAAAGCCATGTATGTGCTCAGCGCCTCGTACACCCCTGGGAGAAGACCACACTTTCGATTGAGTCACTGGCTCCTCTGCTGCTTGATTTGGAGCATTCAAGGCAGTTAGAGGATTCACCACCAGAGAAGAGCCCACACTTTCCTTTACTAGTTAACTTTAAGAACGGGAAGCACAAAGAGAGCTTATGTAGATATGTTTTTATTAGCACTTTAGGCATTGCTTTTGTGCCAACTCCGTTTTACAGATTAGGAAACTGAGGCTCCAAGGGGCATAAGCAACTTACTCAAGGCCATACAGAGCTGAGATTCAGTTTCAGACTGTCCGGTTTAGAGCCTCCTTCCCTCTTCCTTTCCCTCCCTCCCCTTGTTTTCCCATTGTTTATGTATATGATGTGTGTCTGTCCAGGTGGTGGGGGTGGGTGGATACACTTGCTACAGTGCTCATGTAGTGGTCAGAGGACGACCTTCAGTGTTAACCCGTGCTTTCCACCCTGTTCAAAAACAGGACTTTAGCGTTTGCCACTGTGTGTGCCAGGCTCTGGTATGTCAGCTCCCAAGGACTCTGCTGTCACTGCTTCCCATCTTGTAGGAGTACTGGGTTATAGGTAGATGTTGCTGTGCCAGGCTCTACATGGGCTCTCAGGATTTGAACGCATGCTTACATAGCAAATGCTTTACCCACAGAGCCTCTCCATAGCCCAGAGTTGGCTTTATAAACTGACATGGTTCTCTGAATGCCTTTCATCAGACTCATACATAATTGGAAGAATTTGATAGTTTCAGGGGCATTAAAAAAATGACAGCCAGACTCAGCATGCTGCTCAGTGGTAGAGCACTTGCCTAGCATGTGCAAAGTCCTGGGTTTGATCCCTAACAAGGCAGAATAAGTAGCTGTAAATCACAACACATAATAATTGACACCTGCATCAAGAAACTTCTGCTTTGTTTTGTTTGTGCACCAAAGTCAAGTCCATAGCATCTGTCACATTCCTGTGCACACTGGAAAAGCCAGCAGACTCTCCATGGTGACTTCGCAAACAAAGTGTCCTAGTGGTGGGAAGCCGCGAGAAGGAAAACCACCACGTGCTGACACCACACTGCACTCTGGTATTTGCTGATGAGCACAGCCCCTACAAGCTGAAGTGCTTCCCCAGCTGGGACAATAGCAGTGGGATTAGCCCAGTTCCGTGGGTGCCTGCTCTCCTCAGCTCACAAAAGCCTTCTCTAGTGCTCTAGGCTCTCCTGGCAATGAGAGACCCACCAACACGGCTGCTGCTGTACTCGGTCAAGGTGAATGACACCCAGGACAAAATGAAGAGAGTCCAGGAAAAGGTGTCTGACTGGACAGAGGAGACCGCACTGTCAGCAGAGCCCCATGGACAAATGCAGCCTTTGGATGGGTGGGCAAACAGGTGTTTCTGTTTGTGATGTAGGTCAGGGTCAAGCAACTGTAGGGAAATAGATATTTAAGAAAAAATGTTGTGTGGGTAGGTGTTCACAGAACTCCTTTCACGATAGTAAAAGGTGGCAGTGACCCCAGTATCCACGAAGAGACAAATGAATAAATCATACTGCAGTATAGCTACACAGGGGGTTGCTATGCAGCAAGGAAATGGGATAAACCATGAAGCTCTGGGTGAGTGAAAGAATCCAGGCACTAACAGTCCATGGGTAAATGATTGCATTTATGTGAACTATCCCAGATAGAGAAATCCACAGATTCTCTAGAGTCTAAAACAGATTAGTGGCTGGGGCGGGGAGAAGGGAGAATAGGAAAGTACTGATCAAGGGGTACAGAATTTCCTTTTGAGGTGATAAGAATGCTCTGGAGTTGGATGCATGGAGGTGGTTGCACAGTGTTCTGAAGTATACTTTAAATGGTTAAAATATAGTATTTATATTGTGCGTATTTTTACCACAAATTAAGTAAAACAGACAACCATCAGGGCTACTGGTAACTCAGACATCCCCAGGAGAGACAATGGCAACATACCTACCCTAAATAAAACTCCCAGGAGATGACAAGAGGTGGGTCTTGCATTGAGAGGGGAGCTCTAGGGCTGGAAGGGATCTGATGGCCAAACCCAACTGAACCCGGCCATTCCAGGTACTATTTGTGTCCTGACGGGGAGGAAGATGTATAGGTGGCTTTAATAGCCATTGCTGTGACCACAGCAGGAAGCTCAGTGACAGGGTGGGAAGTCTTAAAATGGTGACTTGAAAAAGATGATGGACACATACCTAGGTGGCCTCCACAGATGGCCACCTCAGGGTACAGGAGCAGCTCCTCTTTGGACATGCTGCTCTGTCCCTCGACCTCTCCCTGAACTGCCCTTGCTTATTTCCTGTACACACTGGGTCATGCCTGTGCCCGAGGTCCCCACTGCAGCTTCTGATTGTCCTGCTGCTGCCTCATCCCACTTTTTCCTGGCCAGTGAATTAGCAAGTCAAGGTTATGGGTTCTAGAAGACAAGAACAAGCACACTGCCCCTTGGGCTCATGGGAACCCTGGAAAGATAGGTATGGCCACTGTCGGGGAGACCAACTGACCTTGTGTGGCGTCCCCAGATTCACATACTGTTTCCAGTATGTTAACTGTACCCCAGATTATAAAACCATGGATACATTTTAATGAATGGAACTGATTATGAAAGGGAACCCCCAAAGAGGTCATCTTTGATAGTTAATTCCAAGAGCTGTGTGAGTGTTACCATGGCAACTTCCCTGGACATTGTGGTTGTTCAGAATTAACTTGACATGTAGTTACCCACTTAGGCTTGGAGTTAGCTTTCTGCTGAACAGTCCCTCCAGCAAGCGGGCGATGGAAGGAGGACTCAGGATTGCTTCAGAGTCTACTGGGCCACACAGCACTGCATCACACCTACACACCTCCCCCTAGGCACCCTTCACTGGAACACCATCTACTTTCTGTTCATCTTGGTTTTCTCATTGCTAGAATGGGCCCAACCATTCCTATCAAATGGAATGAGTGGCAGGGTCTCTTGGATCCCATGCTGGACTCAAATTCTCTGTGTGGTTGGAGGATGACCTTGAATTTCTGATCCTCTTGCCTCTCCTGAGTGCTGGGGTTTCAGGAATTTGCCACCACATCTAGTTTATCAGGTGTTGGAGTGGAGCCAGGATTTGCTGGGTATCACTCAATAGTAGATAGAGTATGTATAGAAGGAAGAAGACATTCCATCAAGGGTTATGAAATGGAACTTAGTGCCTCAATCTCCCAAAGTGCTGGGATTATAGACATGTGCCACCACGTCTGCCTACCATAAATAATTTTTATATTAATTACATGTTGAAATGACAAGATTTTGGATATCAACAAGTGAATATTAGTTGCTGGGTATTAATGATATTAATTAATCATCTAGATTAAATAAGATATATTATTTAAAACATTCTTCACCTGCTTCTTTTTTCAAATGAGATGGAGAAAACTTAAAATTACACATTATATTTCTATGGGGCGACCCAAATCTAGAATGTCCTCAACATGCCATTAGTATGTCAAATCCTCACAATCTCATTTGTGCTCAGGTATGAAACAAACTTTTGGAGTGTAGATAATTTACTGAAAAGAGTGTTTTATAAGAATCAAAAGAATCAGACTAGGACTGGGGTGTAGCTCAGTAGAAGAGCACTTGTCTAGCCAGGCTCTGAGTTTGAGCCCAGGGCAGCAAGAAGAGTTTTACAGAGTAACGGTACATCCAGCTGATTCTGAAGGCTTTTCCATGCAGAATTGTTAAGGGGTGGTGTGGAAGTGTGGAGAAGGGGGGCTAACTAAGCTTTGTGGCCTTTTCCAGGTTCGCTGTGACCCTGAGATTCAGGAGCTGCGGCAGTGGCAGAAGAAGCTGCGTGAGGACAACCACATCCGCCAGCGCGTGAAGATTTTCTGGGCTAAACAAGAGCAGAAAAGTGAGTGGCGGGCAGGCTCCACAGCCCACGTTTATTCTGGAAAAGGCTGATCCTTCTCTCTGAGCTCCAGAGAGAAACTCTTGGAGGCCTGTGGAAACTCTGTGTGTGTGTGTGTGTGTGTGTGTGTGTGTGTGTGTGTGTGTGTGTGTGTGTGTGTGTGTCCTGCTATGGAGTCCACAGGATGTAATTCACATGGCCATTTCCCTCCTTGAGGACAGCTTCTGTGTGTCTTGTACCTGAGGGCTTTTATTTTCCAGCTGTGAGACTCTAAAAACACGCTGTGATTTGGGGAACTGTGTTAATGGCAGGGTGCACAGGTAATCACCCTCCCCAACTCCTGCTGTGTCTGAACTTCAGTGGGTTTGTTTCCATCTTCTTTTTTGTTATGGGCAGTTCCATGGCCAGTTTGGCTGGGCCAGGATCTGCTCAGTTAGTTGGTGAATGCTATTTCTGGGTATTGCTATAAGAGTGTTTCTAGAAATTGAATATGAATTTGAACTGGTAGGCTGAACAGATGGTTGCCCTCTCTAGTGGCAGGGACCTGAATAGGATAAAGGGTGAGGAGGTTGAATTGATTGCTGGTGTTATGCACAGAGTACTAGTCTCCTCCTGCCTCTCCTCCGGGCCTCCTGGGCCTCAGGCCTCAGATGTGGGCTGAACCAGACACAATGGGCTCTCCATTTCTCAAACCTCTGATCTACCTCACCACATGTGTGGGCATGTTAACACACACACATACACATGCATACACCCCTCCACACTCCTCCCTTGCTTGCAGATGGCAGATGGTGTGGCTTCTGTGGACCAGTACTTTGTATTTCTAAATCACCTTATCTATGTGTAGTATTGGAAAAAGAACATGTCAGAATGAACACCAGCATGTTAATCATGGTGGGATTTCTGTTTTCTTCCCCTTTTTGGAAATTGTTTTTCTGTTTTTTCCTATTGTGACTATATAGTAAGTTAAAGTTTAAAAATAAAAGGGGGGGTGTCATGACGGTTCAGTCAGTGAAGTGTTTGCTTGTGTGAGCATGGGGACCTCAGTTGGATCCCAGCACCCAAGTACAAAGCCGGTGTAAGACTGTAAGCCCAGTACTGCAGGTGGGGACAGCAGGGGTCTCTGCAGCCTGCTGGAGGGACAGTCCAGCCTAATTGGTGAACTATGGTTCTCTGTCTCAATAAATAAGGTGAAAAAGTAGTTGAGGAAGACACCCAGCATTTACATGTGGCCTCCACATGCATGGATACAGACATGTACATATCCACAGGAACACATGTATCACACACACACACACACACACACACACACACACACACACACACACACACACAGGTACTCAAGAAAGGAAGAAAAGGAGAGGAAAAAAGGTGGGAAAGGGAGAGAGAGGAAGCAGCTTCAGCAATTACTCCTGTTGGGAGGGCTCAGCCCTGACCTTGCTTTAGCCCAACTGCCGTTTCAGTTCAGTTCAGAACTGGGACTCAATCAGAGCTGTAATCAGCTTAAAGATCGCAGGAAGCACAGCACACCTATTTATTGCCGCTGTTCTGTATTCTTTGGAGTTGATTTGATGTTATTTGATTGATGGGCTTGGCTTGCTCTAGAGCAGGAAGAATAGAGTGGACTCAGTGCCAGCAGGAGAGCAGAGTAGGATCTGCTGTCCCAGCCACCTGCTGTTTCCACCTTGTCACCTTGCAAGGGCTCCAAGAGGCTCCCCATATTGCAAGACAGGGTCTTCAGTAAATATGACCTTAATTATATTAATAATTGAATTAATTAATTTAATTAATAATATAAATCCTAACATGGCTCAGTGCTAAACTGCCCTTTATTCGAGACTCTGAAATGGCCCTTGAGAAAAATAAAAGGTTCTAAAAGCCATTCTAATGGCCGGTTGAAAGACAGGACATCATTAACAGCAGAGCTGCCCCAGGACTCTAGCTGCCATTTCCATCCATGTGACCCTTACCTTACTGACTTCACTGGACCTTAGTTTCCCTTTACAGAATGGAACCAGCAATAAAGGTCCTGACACATACAACAGTTAAAGGAGTCTCCTGGATGATCTTCAGAATGAGTCCTGACACCCAGTGCCTGTGAATGTTCTACACTGTCACAATTGTAGGTGGAGATGTGTGTGTGTGTGTGTGTGTGTGTGTGTGTGTGTGTGTGTGTGTGCTTTTCAGTGACCTGGGGTTGGTTTCTTTGACAGACCTTAAATTCTGTGGATTCCAAGTGGGATAGTGTTTATCTTATTTGTGTGTCGCCCAAAGCTTCACAAAGATCAGTGGTCGACACATGTATATTTGAGGCATGAAGCTCTTGGGCTTCACTTTACAGCAGAGGAGATAGAGACTAGAAAGGTCTAAGGAATTGCCCATTGGATGCCAGTTGGTAAAGTGCTTGCCAAGCTTCCGTGAGGACCTGGATTTGATTCCCAGTGTTCACATGGAAGTTGGGTAAGGTGGCATACACAAATCATCCCAGCTCTGGGGATGTTGAGAGAGAAAACCCCCTGGAGCACGTTGGCTAGCTGTTCTCACCAACCAGTGAGTTCCAGGTTCCCTGAGAGACCCTGCCTCAAAAATTGAGGTGGAGACGGATTGAGGACGCCTGGTATCGCTCTCTGGCCCCCACATGCATGAGCACACATGTGGGTGAGCACCTCAACACGTGTGAACAGTGATGAGCTTGAAGCCCCATGTCTTCACTTTCTCATCTTCTAAGGCTTCTGAAGAGATTGATACACAGACAAGCTCCTCCCTACTCTGTTTTTCTTCATGGTGCTGTAGCTGGAAGCCAGAGTCACACATCAGAGGCAGGTACTTTACAACCCAGCTACAGCCAGCCCCATTTTATTATCAGATCCAAACTTCTCAGGAATGGTCTTAAACACGACATATGATGTGGCCCGTTCCTTATCAGGGCCCCAGAATTCTTTATGTCTGGGTTTGTGTTGACTGAGTTATCTAGGTTGGGGCTGAATGAAGAGGAGCATGCAGCCTGGAATACCCTGTGCAACCCAGGTATAAGCAAATCATTTTGTGGAGTGTCACAGTAGTCATGTTCCAAAGACCTCCCGTTTGGCAGCTTCTGTCCTTTAGGCTTGCCATTAAAAAAAAAGTGTAGTCATGGTAGGTAGCAATAGTTTTGGGCTCCGCTTAAAATTTTCCCTCTATGTAGAAATCCCACAGGCAGATGTGACTCTAAGGTGTTCTCATGGTATCACACCACATTCTGGTGTTTACATTGTGAACAGCCTCTTGCAGACAGTGAGTCTCAGGGAGGGACAACAGCTGTCCAGGCAGACTCCTGGTCATGTGCAGTTGGTCTCGGGTTACACAGAGTCAGAGGCTACTGTCCCCAACATTCTTTTCCAGACAGAAACAGTGTGAAGTTCTTCCGTCTCTCTCCAAAAGGACAGGTGCTCAGATTATTTTTAAATGTGTGTCTTCGGAATTTCAGCCAAAGATGCCTTTGACTGTCAAAAATCCCTTGCCAAATAATAGCATGTTTTTAGTTGTGTTTCAGCGGTGATTGGTTTCATATGTTCTTTGTATGTGAATACTCCTCATTAAACCCAGTGGTTCATGTTGTGGTGAGCGCAGAGCCAAAACAAGCACAGCTGAGAAGTCAGAGGGTAGAGAAAGATTTATTACCTGCAGCAGGTGGGGAGGGCATGGGAGCCACAGTGTCCTCTTTGAAGGACGGAAGCATGGGGATTTTATTCAGGAAGCCTGTGCATATGCCAATGGGAAAACACCTTATGGGCGAGCACATTCCTGAGCATCTCCGTTTGAGGGCATAGTTCAGGAAGGGAAGAAGGTAGAGCATATTTGGAGGCACCCTTAGCTTAAGCACATGACTTCAAAAGTTTAAATTTCAAGATACAGATGCCTCTAGGCATGCTCAGCTAGAGCAAAGAGGATGATAGGCAGCTGCTTCTGCACATGCTCATGTGTGTGTGTGTATGTGTGTATACCCATTCATTTGTGTGTTTACAGGTACATGAGTGTGTGCATGTGGGTGAAGGCCATAGGACAGGCTCAGCTGTCATTCCTCACTATTGTCCATCTTATATTGCTTGTCAGTCGTGTTTAGTTTTGAGATAGGGTCTCTCTCTCTCATTTGCCCAAACTGGCCAAGCAGGCTGGGCTGGCTATCCAACAAACCCCGGGGAGTCTGAGGGATCTGCCTGTCTCTGTCTCCCAGTGCTGAATCACTGCTCTGGCTTTTAGAATGTGGGTTCTGGGAGATCAAATCCCTGTCCTCGTGTTTGCGTGACAAGCACTTTATCCACTGAGCCATCTCCCCAGTTCCTCAAAAGTTTTGTCTAGAGCAGTGGTTCTGTACCTTCCTAATGCCGTGATCTTTTATTACAGTTCCTCATGTTGTGCTGACCCCAACCATAAATCATTTCATGCCACTTCTTTACTGTAATTTTGCTGCCATTATGAATTGTAATGTATGTGTATGATATGCAGGATAGCTGATATGTGACCCCAAGGGGGTCATGACCCACAGGTTGAGACCCACCAATCTAGGAGAGAAAGGAAAGACAGACAGTTTAAGGCACACTAATACAGGGGCTTGTTCCTAAGTGCTGGCCTCTCTTAGCGGCTACCAGGTAAACATTTTACTTGGAAATCTATGAGGGGTCAGACCAAACACAGACAAAAATCATAGCAATTATTTCCAGAACACCAGAATCTATTGCACACACATGCAAGCACACACACACACACACACACACACACACACACACACACACACACACACCAGGTAACTTTCTCATATGATACATGCATTTTATATATGAATAAATATGCTTGAAGTGACTTCATCACTTTATGTTTAGAAGAGAACGTGTTAAGGGTACAATCTGTCAAAGGAAGTGTTTTACCTCTTGTTTCCTACCTGCTCATTCCACATTCCAGTGGCTTGTAGTAGTCCCAGAAATACACTGTAACTTTAGGCAAACATGGCAATTGACTTAAAAAAA